AACTGGGCCATAACATTAATTTTGTTCACATAAAACCAAATGATAATAATATTATAGTATATTCCTTAGATCATATACTATAGATAGAGCTATTGACTAAATATTTGGAGCAAACATAACTAAGGGCAATTGGGACAAATGCGCATGCGCAAAATTTATATCGCATGCAATTGGTCGAATTCACGTAATTATGTGTGATGTACCTACCATCACTGCCTGGTGGTATTGTAATGATTATATGATAAATATGCGATGAGTACTGATAAGCATTCAATTCCTTAGCACTTGTTAATAATCACGTCTTCAACTCGTAGTAACGTGTTTATTATGCAGTAGCTCTATCTATAATATATGATTTAAAGCGATGGTTCTCAACTGGGGTGGTGATATGTTACCCTGGGTTGACATGAACCCAGTGTAGAGGTGACAAGAAATCATCGGGAAAAATAAAAAATAAGAAAAATAAAAGAACTATTAATTTTTAAGATTAAAATCGTACTATTGACGTCGCCGTCACGTAACTACCACCAACACGGTCTGAAAACATAAAATTCCCTGGCTATCACTCACTTTTCTATCATACCACTGCTAGAATCTCCTATTATTTCAGTGGATTATGCATCGGTAGGACGATTATTGAGGAAAAGGGTGATACGAACCGATAATGGTTGAGAACCACTGATCTAAGGTATAGTCGGAACAACATTAGGTAGGGTAGAGAAGTTGTTAACAGATAGAAAAAAAAAACACACACGCGCGCGCACGTATCTTAAAACCAATACATTGTCTCGCTTAGCTCAAAATTATGATAAAAAAAAAAAAAATCGTCTACTTACTATTATTTGTCGTAATATTAGTGATTATAGTATAATTATATAATCTTTGTGGGTGTATGCGTGTGGCTGTTTTTAAAATAAACATACGTTTCGTATACTGTTTGTACGCCAGCGATAATCATAAACGTCAAAAATAACGCGTTTTACCGTCTGACGAGAAAAAAAAAAAAAAAAACCAAAAAAAACCGTT